GCATCCCGAGGGATGGGAATCAGTCGAGGTACCTAGGATTGCCGGTGTTAGTTGGTAAAAAAATGGCAATTCTTGGCTATCTTCGGGATCGCATACACTCTAGAATTAAGAGTTGGAATAATAGATTTTTGTCTAGAGCTGGCAGAGCGGTTTTATTAAACAATGTTGTACAGGAAATGCCAAGCTATGCTATGAACGTGTTCTTACTGCCAAAAGAACTCTATGATGACATAGAAAAATTAATGAATGGTTTCTGGTGGAGGGGATGTAAGCTCGGCCAGAAAGGACTGAGATGGAGAACCTGGAAATGGATTATGCATGTAAGCCGAAACAGGTGGGAGGGTTAGGCTTTAGAAGACCGTGAGTATTTAATTTGGCTACGTTGGGTAAACAAGGCTGACGATTGATTCCAAATGAGAGCTGTCTCATGGGCCGGGTCCTCAAGGCAAGGTATTTTCCTAAGTCAAATTTCCTTGAGAATTTTTCACAAGTAGACAAAAAAGTATAAATAATATCACTTTTATCACCTTTGATAATTTCTTTCAAAAATAGTCTAATCAAAATTCGCTTTTCAATATTAAACCTTAAGCCGTAATGCTGTAACGGTAAACTTAAAACTTGTACGGTTTTGTGCCTTATATATCTAACCATTTGAGGAAATGATGAATTCCAATCAAACAAATTCATAATAATAATAAATGTTACAATCGTAAAAATGCTACAAAAATGTTATCTTTTTTAATAGTAAGCAAACTTGTTTAAAAAATTCAAAAAAACGAGTAAAAAAGAAAAGCGTGAAATATTGTAAAACGGGGAAAAGCTGAAAAAAATTTAAATTCAGATAACTCAAAAAAATGGAAGAACTCTAAAAATGAAATTGGATTTAAAAAAAAAAAAGAACTCAAAGTAAAAAAACGAATTCCAAAAAAGAATAATTTGGAAACTTATTAACTAAATATGAAAAAAAGAAAATGAATTGCAATTTTACAAAAGAAATATGGAGTAAAAAACTAAAAAACATTGAAATCTTAAAATAGTTACAACATTGGGGAAAATGTAAAAAGGTACAAAATATGATTTTTTAATATAATGTTTTTAAATAGTTATTATAATTTGTATAAAATAAAAAAAATAAAAAAATTTATACAAATAAAAAAATAATTAAATAGTTAAAAAAGCAATAACCTTAAAATTATAAAAATAAATACGTAAAGTGAAATAAAAACGTTTTGAAAATAATCAAACTATTAAATAATATGAAAAGTAATTGGAAACTTTTACGAAAATGTAATTATGTAGAAAAGTTGGAAAATAAAAATAAAAATATTAAATAAAATGAAAAATCAAATAAATATATAAAATTTGAAAAAATTTTAAAAATTAAATTAAATTTTATATAATAGAGGAAAAATAAAAAAAATATTACACAAAATTATAAAAAAATAAGAAAATTACCGTGACCTGAAAGAGCATAAAGTATGAGAGATATAAAAAATGTGAAAAATTAAAATATGAAGTTGGGAAGAAGTTAAAAAGTTGAAAAATAAAAAATAAGAATTTTCCAATGTAATATTTCTTAAAGTATATATTTTTTAATTGTTACAATATTATTAGTACTTTTTGTTGCCTATTGTTTCTATGTGTTTCTTTTTGTTGATGAATATAAACTTTTTGTTTCTTATTGTTTCTTCATGTTTCTAATTGTTGTTTATATTTATGTGTAAATTTATCATTTTAGGTGTTATATGTGAATCTGTATTAGATATTTTGATTTTAAGGAAGTAACAAATGTACACGAAAACCCAAGTAAACAACAAAAATCAAATTAACAATAAACAACAAAAACAACACAATGCAACAAACACAACATGATGCAACAAAAAGCAACATAATGCAACAAAAAGCAACACACACAACGCAACAAAAGGAAACAAATAGGAAATATAAAGTATCACAATATATATAGAATTCAAACTATTATTTCAATGCTAATGTAAGTAAACATGTATTAATTGTTCCAGTGCCAAGAAAACATTGATCAAGAGTGTGAAATCAACAAAGCAGCAATTAATCATTCCAGGTGTGCATCAGTAGCAAATACACAGTTAAAAGAATGGTGTTGATGAGTCAAATCAGTAGATCGATGGAAACAATTTAGTAATGCTCGGTTGACCCCTAATTAGTGTTCCATGGAGATATCAGCACATCTTAAGCTTCAAGTGTAACAACAAAAGCTTCCAAATGCTTCACTTGAGTTGACAAGGTCTTCAATCTAAGCCAAGTAGCAAATGTTGCCAAATAATCAATCACAACCTGAAAAATAGCAACCACTGTTAGGGTTGGAGCAGTTACCATATGCTTTGCAGCAACAAGTGCAACTCGCATAGGCCTCAAAATCCTAATCCATTACTTCAACATAACTTGATAGATCAGCAAAAGAAAAACTTTCAACCATAGAGGGGGTTAGCTCAAAAAACATCATCCAGTATGCGTTTATCCATGTTGAGCAACTTTAAAAGTTCACATGATTTTGCATATTTTTTCTTTTTCAAATAAGCATGTGCTGTTTTACATTCCTCATTAATATTGTTTCATAAGGAAATTTATTAAAAACTACAAATGCTAATAGTGAAAAAAGATTTAAAGAGTTCTAGACAAGTAGACTTGACCAATATATAGTGCTTCTAGAATTGTAACACTCTGAGACAAAAACTGCAAATGCACAACTTGCCACCCCGTGAAACACTAAAAACAACCCTAAATCAGCCCTGCCCTCACTCACCAAAGCTAATATAGTCATATGAAGTTGCTGGATGATCAAAGAGTTAAGAGGACCTGTGAATCTCTCAATAACTTGCATTAAACAATTGAGTTGCTTGGAGTTGACAAAACCACCATATGTCCATATACTTAGCACTATTCTTCACACATTTAGGAAGAATGCGCTCCTACTCCGCTATTGGAAATAGAGTTTGAATCCTTGGTGCATATGTAGAGATAATTAAATCACTAAAAGCACTCATTTAAATGACAGATTTGATAAGAACTGAGTTTACATCACCAAGCTATACGTTTTCCACGGATACGTAAGCATTTAGCTACAAGTAAATAAGCAGGCTCAAAATCTGCAAAAAACAAAACTTACTAGTCAGCGAAGCCTGATGCGAGTAGCAGAAGGCAGAAGACCAAAACTGCAGGGCATAGTTCATTAGCAGGATTGCTGCCGCCTGCCAATGTCAATTAAGTAGAGCCGCATCCTTCGCGTCCGCCTCTCGTGCTCAGTGTTGAGCACCTGTGTTCCGAGCTCGCAGCTCCCTCGCCCATGGCAAGTCGCGAGTAGTAAACTCGCAATTCTCAGCCGAAAAACGAAATACACAGTCGAGAATCATCGATCACTCATTGAAATAGAATGACCTGCTCAGTGTTATTGTTTTAGACAGAGGGGAATGAGAGATGAATGGCGCTGGGGTGAAGTCGAGAGGTCGGGAGGAATGATCGAACAACGACGATGAAAATTTAGGGTTATGATTTAATGGATTTGATTTTGAATTGAGCTTTAGACTATTTTTGAAATAAAAAAATAAAAATGAAAAGTAAAAAGTTTAGATATGAAAAGTAATTCACGGGTAGACATAAATGAAATGCTGGACCAGAAAAGGGCTACATCGGGATATTTCCACAATTTCCTTTCTTCTAAATTGGGATATATCCCTTCTTTTATCTGGAGAAGTATTTTTGAGACTCATGAGTTGCTAAAAAATAATACTCGGAGATGGGTTGGGAACGGTATTGATGTCCAGGCGTGGGCGGATGCCGGGGCAGAGGCCGGGAAAATTTCTTCTACTCGCCCCAGGGGTGTTAGAGATATGAATGTAGCGGCGCTTCGGGATATTAAAGGAAAGAAGTGGAATGTGGACATGATTTGTTCTCTATTTAATGAGGCAGGCATGAGCTTGATTCTTAGTATTCCAATCAGTGTTCACGATAAGAAGGATGGATACTGGTGGAAGGGAGAAACTAATGGATTATATTATGTAAAAAGTAGCTATCGTCTTCTTATGGGCGAGTTCCAAGCGGACGGATGGGCTGGTTGGAAGACTTTGTGGGATATTAAGGTTCCACAGGATTTTTTTTGTTTGGCAGGTTTTGGATAGAACACTACCAGTGGTTGATAGTTTGAGGAGGAGAGGCGTGGACATTCAGGGCGGATGCAAGAGTCCAAGCAGTGTGGCGGGCAGCTGGTTCGTATCCGGATTTCGAGCAATTCTCGACGGAAGTCTGGATTAGGAAGCAACTCGACAGCTTGGGAGAGGAAGAAAGAGGTAGATTCGTGGCTATACTTTGGAGTATTTGGAAAAGACGTAATACTGCTGTTTGAAAACATCAAGTACAAGAAACTGCTAGTGTTTTAAATGCGGCTACTGGAATGTTGGCTAGTTGGAAAGAAGCTCAGGTTGCCGAGGAGGGGAAAAAAGACTCGACCGGAGATCGGGGAAGCAAATGGACGAAACCGGGGTCGAGAGTTATTAAAGTAAATGTGGACGGAGCAATTGATCGGGAAGGCAATAAAAGAGCTTGGGGATGGGTAGCTAGAGATGAGTATGGTGATTTTATTAGAGCCTCGGGCACCACACATAGGGCTGGCTGGAGTGTGGCAGAAACAGAAGCTATGGGGGTTCGTTATAAGCAACGGTGGAGATGGGATGGCAGCAAGTAGAAGTTGAGACAAATGCTTTATCGGTTGTTCAAGGAATAAAAAAGAGGGAGGAGTCCTTGTATTTGCATCTTATTCTTGAAACAAAGAGTAATTTTTTTTTTTGTCTCTTTTTGTAAACAGTCTGCGAATCGTGCTGCTCATGCTTTGACAAGAGCACACGTCGTTATCTTAGATCAGAGGGTTAATTATGACGATATTCCTCATTGCATTGTAAGCCAATTTGCAAACGATTTGTTAGTTTAATATATCTCTCGGTTTAATGATAAAAAAACTCATTTTGGTCATCTAAACACATGCGTAGTATATTTTAATGTTTATTCAGTTATTATAAACCGAAAAAGAGTAACAAGCCAATCAATAATCCCAGATTCCCTGGAAAGGGGGCAACCAAATTTATAACTTGGCTAGATTATGATTAATTATGGTTTTCCTTTCAAAAAAAGAAAATTAATTGTGTTTCTTAGAACCGAACGTAAGAAAGCGCCTTGTGGAAGTGTTTGGCTTTCATATCAAGATACTCGCTCCACGCAATCTCCCTATACATGGGCGGCTCCCCGTTCGCCACCAGTTTGGGCAGCGGCGATATCTTCACCCCCGGCGGCGGGCCGTAGAGATACGCCACCGACATCCTGTGTCTGCTCCCGTTCACCACTGCGCGGTGGAGCACGCTATGGTAAGCCCCATTCGAGAGCATGTGGAGGAGGTCTCCGACGTTGATCACCAACGCCCCGGGGATCGCCGGGACGGCGACCCACCCGTATCCTTCCCGGAAAACCTGTAACCCGCTGGTGTTGTTCTGGTGGAGGATGGTGAAGAGGGTGGAATCCGTGTGCTCCGCCAGGCCCATGGCCCGGCCCGGATCCGGACATGCCGGGTACGAGTTGAGCTGAATGGCCGAACGCCTCCCTTCGGCCTGATCCATTTTGGACCCAATAGCCCATTTCAGTTCTTCATCTGAAACCCCTATGGCTTCCAAAATTAGCCTCGTCAATCTACCCGCTAACTTTATCATCTCTTTTTCGTACTCTTCAATCGTGTCACTAAGCCAAACAAAGAAAAACAGGATTAGCTAGCATTCTTATGTTTTTAGTTGGACTATAATTCGTCCTAGACCAGACCATAGTAGATCAGATCATACTAGACTAGTTCAGACCAAATCAGACCAAATTAGACTTGAATAGTTATAAAAATACAAAGAGACCAGACATTACAAGATCAAGCCAAACCAGTTCATACCAGACCAGACCAGCAAATTACAGTCCAAGTAAAAACATCCTTATTCACAAAAGGAGAAAAAATTAGACAACCTATTTTTTAGAATAAGTTTATAACTAATTTAATATTTCTTGTGTTTCTTTAATAGTTGAAAGATTGACATTTCTGCACTATTCACCCATTTCACTTGACAAGTTGATTTGGGCCATTTGTGAACTTGACACATTATAATATGTTAAAGTATGTAAATTAGGTTACTATTAGTTGTTAGAAGATGTTGCAAAATTGCTACATTTTAATATAAAATCATATACTCTAACAAATAAGTTGCACATTAACTCCATTTCAATTTAGTCATTATTATTAGCTCCATTCACAAATGATCAATATCATGCACATTAACTCTATTTCAATTCAGTCATTATTATTCAACATATTAATTAATTAAGTCATTAAAAAGAGTCAAATACGTATTACATTGATGTTCTATATACTCATTACAAATAATTTGTCTACAAGTCTCAAAGGCAAATATAGAAGTTAATATATAGATTGCTCGAACAATTATTACAAACATTGTATAATCTTTTTAGTAATACTAAAATTGGCTAAATGTTATGAATCTGCTAAATAGAGAAAAAATTATCATCAATAAAAGTTATATGGAGAATCCACCATGTTGGTTCATCCCCTGAAATCTAGAATATGCACATAACTATAGTCAGTAAAAGTTATTAAGTTACACTTTTATCGACTATCCATATCTTCATCATATATTTGGGGAAAATTTAACTTTATACTCCATTGTTTGAGCTATATATGGGGTATTAAGTATTATGTAATACTACCACCGTCCCAAATTATTTTACAAAATCAACATTCTTCGGTCAACCAATGTTAAAGTTAAATCTTTCTTTTTTATAATTACTTCAATTTTAATAATTAAAATTTACATATTCAGAAGCTACATTAAAATCTCTATAAAATCGCAAAATCCAAATGAAAATTTAATTAAGAATGAATTTACTAATTAAGTGAATAAAATGAATCTTATTAACTAAAAAAAATTCAATTTTGGAACTCAATTTACAAGGGAAGAGGAGTATTTCTTAACAACATGCTTACATGCATGTGTAGGTGACTCCTACTTTTTAAAGAACTATGGCAGTATAATACGGAGTATTGTCTATTCTCTTAGATAATACTCTTTGTGTGACAAAAAATTGGACTAGTACAGTAGTACAGAGTAAGGAGCATAAAAGATAGGTAAATATACGAATCATGCCATAAAAGGAAAAAGAGTTACTACGAACATATAGAAAAGGATACACTCCACTACTCCACCCGTATGGCCGTATAGTATAAATATATAATTTTGAAATGGAAGTAGTATTATAGTACTAGTAATAACTTTTCTATATTTGAAATCTTGTCAAGACAAGGTGATGATTTTTTAATATCGATACAAAAATAATTCTTCCTAAACTTAAAAATTGGTCGTAAATTACTATATATTATTAAATTATTATTGTAGTCACTAGTCACATTTTTGTAAAATATTTTTATTTAATTATTTTTATTATAAATATGTAATTATTTAAGTAATAAATGTATAAGTATTACAGAGTAACAAATATAATCTATATTTTCCAAAAGTTACATTATAAATTAATTGAATCACAATGTGAACAGAGGTTTTTCCTAACATTATTATGAATAATTTTTATAGTCACTATACTGTAACATTTGAATATAATTATAGCCACTAAAGTCGCCTGTGTTACATTTTTGTCCAATACTTTTATTTTAGTTATATTTTTGGAATTATTTCATATAAAATCATGCCTACTACGTAAACTAAACCCAGTTAATTTGATACACATTGAATAATAATCAAAGGTGGTACCAGAAAGTGGAGTAGTCATGAGGCCATAGAAGGCGGGCATGTTCGAGCGGCGAGCCGACGATGGTGAACCCTTCGGACCACATTCCTTTCGGAAAGAAAGACGAAATCCGAGCGACTCCGTAGCCGGAAACGCCGTCTACGGGGGAGCGAGAGGCCTTAAGCTTCTGATGCAAGGGGAGGGAGAAGAGGCTTTTCCCGGCGGCCTCAATACGGTCCAGCAAATCTTGGGAAATACCGTGGTTTTCCACCTGAAATGCCCCCCACGTCTTGCATGCACGCCCTATTAGCTCCGCCACCCCCTTCTCCTCCCCGCCTAGGTCGATCACCGGAATCGATTCCCCCGTGGAAGCCGCGGAGGTGTCGGACGACGACAACGTCGTCCACGCATGAGACTCCGGCAATTCTTTGACGGCGTTGAGGTCTAATTGTTTATGTACTTGGACAAAGGCTGGTTGGTTATCTGCAACCCTTGAAGGCATTTTTCGGTCGTGCTATTCGTCGTATTATACGTACGTACGTAATTGTATTGTATTGTACGAAGTTGAATCGAAGGGAGTTGAAGATATCTAGAGAGGTTAATAAAGGGAGGGCCGGAGTGGCATGGGCTCGGTCATGAGATATTTGTGTCGATTTTATATATAGGGATAAATTAAATGAATATTTTATTACTCGAATATATGTGATACGAAATGTGATTTGCAAACTCAACTTTTCTTGATCAACATGGTTTCATTTCATTTACACATTTAATTTATCAAAATTTATTATAATCTAATTTGAATTTGGTGACTATATAGAACTTTCCATGTAATTTTTGAATATTTAAATTTAACTATTAAAACTGATTTAACTATATATCCACAATCATGATTTAATTTTAGCTTCAATATACCTTAAAATCTACAAACAACAATTCAATTTGGGACGAAAGAGGTATATTTTAGGGAGTAAAATAAAATAATTAATCAGAATTGAATAATCATCAAAGTCATATTTATTAGGGAGTATATACTTGAGTATTGTTTTAATTTTGTAAAGACCAGGAGACCGGGGGTCAAGATTCAATAAGAACAACGAATATGAGAAGTACAGTCACCAGATTACTCCGTATTGTAAGTTGTTACACAAAATTGTGCAAGGGAGGATGCGGATGATGTACGTTCCATAGCATGCTTTTAAAATGTTCACTTTTGGAATCAAAATTAATTATTTATGTTGCACTGATCGAATTGGATGTCTTACTATTCAGTGAAAAACTTATAATGTACATTCATGTTATTACATTTTCTTTTTATCTATCTATATATATATACATATTTTGCAACATTTCTTTTATCTATCTTTAATTATTTTCATATACGTAGTATAATAGTCTGATTTCCCAAATAAAGAGTAAGAAATTTTCGCAAATAATAGTCTAATTTCGCAAATAATGTACATTCATGTTGGTCAACTTGCATCGATTACAAGGAGTAAAGCATGAAATAATAAATTTTCCTTAATGAATCAGTAACCGACGTGCGGATTTTGAGTAATAAATTAATAATTACTCGTATATGGTATGGCTGAAATGCTGAATCACTCGTATAATGCATGAAATGGATGGAGGTAGAACTAGAAATCTCAATTCACACTTTCCGTAGCTTAAGTACCGATTCCAACTGTAAAACGAAATTAATTGCCGATTCTAGTGATTGACGTTTCGGATGTTTTTACGTAGTACTCAAATTTACCGATCAAGTTTAGGCTGGTTTGATCTGTTTAAATCTGGTATGATCTAGTCTGGTCTAAAATGATCTAGTAAACGTCTGGTCTCTGTGTATTTTATAACTGTGGAAGTCTGGTGTGGTCTGATCTAGTCTGAACTGATCTGGCCTGTTTAAATCTGATCTGATCTGGTCTGGTCTGGGACTGAAAACAGTCAAGTAAAAACATCCTTAATATAGACATACATGTATATATGTTACACCGAATTATACCTTCCTTTCATTAAGATTATCTTATCTTTCCTTTTCGATCCCTCTTACTAAGATTATCTCATTTTAAATTTGATAAAGATTGTCTGACTTTAAATCATGGGATTATGACAATAATATTATAAAACAATAAGTGTGGGACATAAAAGAGCCATTTTCCTAATTTCCAAAAATGAGACTAAAGATGGTTATGAAGACTACTTTACCCTTAATTATTAGGCCCAAATAACTCATACATGTAGTGGCCAACAATATAATGACCAATTACAATTATCTGACCAGTTATAGTTATCCGATCCAATCCGTTACAGTTACCCGACCAACGATTATAGTTACCTAACCCGACCAGTTACAATTACTTGACCAAACCAGATACAGTTACCGACCCAATCCATTAAAATACTCACCCTGACCATTACAGTTAATCGGTCCGAAATTGACTAGTGCTAGCCATCACCGCTAAGCACTACCACCTACCGCCGCCAACGATGCCTTGACAGTCTCCTTCCCAACTCCCATTACCCTGCAAACACGCTGCCTCAAGCCCGACTCCAACCCCGACAACAACCTCATTCCACCACCGCACACCATCGCCCAAGGTTTTAAATAGCGGTAGCGGCAGCCGTAGCGGCTAATGTGGCCGCTGCGATGCGTATAGCAGTCGCAGATAAGATAGAAATATCATGATTTTTTGCATTTTTTAACAAATCTTCATTAATTACATTAAACATAAATTTGTTTATTTGAATATATGAATGATAATGTTAATAGAAACATTATGAATACTTCTTTGAACGCTTATATGCGAATACTTCTTTTAGAGCACACCATTTATTGCTCAACATTTAGAGCTCACTCCATGCACGCACCATTCATGCAGTTCACAACATGTACACACCAGCCATGAACACATCAGCTCGACATGCTTTTTGGAAAGCCAAAAAAGAAATGTACAGTTGGTGATGCGGTGTCGTCGGTACCGGTTGCGGCGTGAAGCTAGCGGGCGGCGTAGTGGATCCGAAACAGTTATGTGTAGATTTAGACGTGATTCCCATTCACACAGCAATAGTGGGCCGTAGCGGTAGCGGAGGCTGTCATGATCGCTATATAGCAACCGCAATAACAGTAGCAGACCACTATTTAAATCCCTGCCATCGCCCCTCCCTGACGATGAGCACCGCCACCATAGCCCCTTTCTCAACCCCATTCCTTACACAAACCTAGAGTCCTTGACCAACACTAGTCTCCCGCCCCTTCAATTGTCGCATATAATTACTAATCCTTCCCCCAGCCCCAACCCTCAGCACACCACTGCCCCTGCTAAAAAAACAGAGCCGTTTGCCGCCACCTAAAAATCATAGCCGAATCACCTTCGCGGTGGTTGATTTCAAACCCTAGATGTCAATTTACAACCACCACTATCATCTCATCGCCGGCTTCACGTACCCCAACATGAAGGCCATCACCGTCACTCACTTGGATTCGCTCAAATTTGCCTCCATCACCATTGGATTCGTCCCAGATTCGCTCCCTCCCTGCTCAGTTGTTGATAATCAGCAATATCCCCATGACCACAAAAAGGTAAGAAAAAGGATTGTTGGGATGGTGGTGCGGTCATGAGGTCTTGTGGCGGTGGTCGAAGGCGACTGGTGCGATGAAGGAAAGTCCATTGGTTGATCAGAGATCTGGGAGTAAGGTTGGTCAATCGCATGCCTAGGAGATCGAAGGATATTTGTGGAAGGGCATTTTAAATAGATTTTGGTCTTGTTATTAGAACTAGTCTTATATTTGTCCATTTAGAAATCCATGATATTATTTTTGTCATTATTGATGGGGGTTGCTATGCGCACCCCCATTATTACTTAACGTAACCACATAGCACTACTACAAAAAGCATCTTTTGCGTCGACAAAAAATCGACGCAAAAAGTAAAATGTCAACACAAATAACTTATTAGCGTCCACATGTGGACGCGAATTGGCCGACACTAAATCTGCGACGCAAATAACTCTTTTGTGTCCACAATGTGGAACGCAAATAATATTTAGGCTTTTGCGTCGGAATGTCTGATATGTGGATGCAAAAGGTGCGTACACCATTTGTCTGGACATGTTAACCCAAAAAAGTCTGCATACTGAAATTAAGCTATTTGAAGTCTTGTTTGCCATTTGCGTCAATTTGGTGGACGCAAATATTATTATTTAAGCTAGTGAAATTAAGAATATTTATTTTATATTTGTAAATACATATTGAATCATTTTACTCATCTAATAATATTAAAATTAAATAATTTTTACAAATTGTATTAAATTTAAGTAATTCATGTCTAACAATTCCATAACAGGCTACAAGTTAAAATAAATCAATGTTAACAATTACAACGAGTCTTGTAAATTTCTCTTCTAAGAATTGCATAAAAAGTACAAGATAAATACAACATTATCCTAAATATGTCAACAAATGGATCCCTATTATGTAGATTTCTGTTGTGGGAGTCCTGCCTTCGATCCGTAAGATAGTCATGTCCAATCTTATCGCGAAGATTTGTCTTGATAATATTCATCGCTGGAGCCAACTCAATACGATGATAAACCAAATGAAAAGATTTGTGAATTGTAAGCTCAACCATCTTCTTAGACACTTCACCAATACTTTGTAAGGTGGAAAATGCTTCATTTCCTCTCATCTCATATACCCAAACTTGGAGTTGTTATTTAAGCTCCATTTGCTCAACAACTGAAAAATCACATGAATATAACTCCGCAAGACCGAATAGCTTAGACTCACAGAAATTGGAAAATTTATCTTTAGGATCAAGGCAAGCTAAACAAGCGAGTAAATCTGTATTTGATTCACTAAAGCGATTCTCCATTTCAATATTGATCTAGTCTATAACCTACAATAAGGTAATCATAAAGAGTAATAATAATAACTAATAAACAATTTAAATTTTAATAAAAATACCTGATAAAATATATCAGCTTGAAAGTGATGATAATTTGTTACCGAATGGCGAACGTGCTTAGAATGATGTGCAATATCTTCCATGCTTAGAATGTCAATTTTATTCTTGACACAAAGTTATTGACATCTTCTAGGGGGTGTTTGAATCTGATTCTTAAAACTGCTTCTGCTTCTTCAGAGAGCAGAAGCAGAAGCTGGAATATTTGGATGAAAGTGCTCTAATTTACTCCTAGAATCAGTTTTTTTAGAAGCTGTGGGAGACCAGCTTCTTAAAACTGATTCTGATTCTGCTTCTGCTTTAAAAAAAGAAGCAGAAGCAGTTCCAAACACCCCCTAATACCTCTTTCCCACTTACTTTCTCTCAAATCTTGGAACTTCTCTTTAGTGCTTTTAATCAAGCATGTTGTAATTCAGACTATCTTCCAGCTCAGGTCTCGTCTATTTCATCCACAAAGGATGAATATCACACACTAGGATCTAAAGGGGAAAATTGGGCATCAACCTACTAATCTATCCTGCCAATTACTTCAATTCGTCCACAGAGGAGAAGAGGGGAAAAGGGTTCGGCCAGCCTTCATCGCAACTATCAAGGGAGGAATAAATAGGCAGAGCTCAATAAACCATACAAGGTAACCGTTCAGTAAGG